TTTGTTGTGTCCTGAGGATCCTCTGGTGGGGTAGCGAAGAGGGCAAACGACGACTCGATGGTCGGGAAAGCCGGCTACGTGCAAGGCCTTAGTGGTACACTTCACCGTGGCTAGTTGGTGGGGCTCGTCGAGGGGGGTCTGGGGGGGATTGAGAGCGGTGCTGACGAGAGATGTCAGTATAGTGTCGATCGAGGGTGGCATGGTATGGATACCATGAGGAGGTGTGTCCATCCTGGCGGCAACGAAGGCAGCCGCGACGATCGCTGAGGGCGGCATGCTCCTCAGGGGCTAGAGCTCCGCGAGGAGGGACAAAACCCTGCGGGAGGTCTATTTGAGGAACCGTGAACGTGCAGGCGCTAGCCTGTGCACCCCAATTGCGCGCATAACCCTGGGCGGACATGGCCATCTGCAGGCACTCGCCCACCGGGAAAGTGTCGTCATCCAAATGATACCGGATGACGACTCTGAGCTCGATGTCCTTGGAGGCGTCCCCAAGTGTAGGGTCAAGCTCGGTTCAGGCGTCCTCGCCGTACTCCAGAGAACTGTAGCGTCGAGAGAATGACGCTCAAGGTCGAGTTGGTCGATGAAAGCAGCCGGCGAAGGAGGATTTACTGCGAGTAGCACCGCGTGACTGGGTGGTGGCGGCGGTGGATCGTGAAGAAGATGGGGTGTCGGAGAAGCGACTCCACATCTTCTGGTACTCTCGAGCAACCTCGTAGGCGTGCTCTGAGAAGGCGAAACTCTATCGTCAAAGCTTGATGCGATAGTCAGTCGGAAGACTTACTACGAACCTCTTGGTCAAAGAGACCTCAGGTAGGAGTACCTCATCGCAAATGAGGCAAGCGTCTTGAAACACTCTGATGTGATGCTCAAGATCGGCTGGTGCTGGGGACTCGTGCCACTGCGTCTGGATGACCCGATCTAGGGCGTTGGTCACATCGTGGAGAGTGCCATAGCAGTCATGAAGGAACACGGTGAAACCCGTGAGAGTAGGAGCCTCACCTGAGCGAGTACGATGGGAAAAATAGTTCTCCCATGTGGAGAACACGCTGCTTCACAATTTAGTTGCGAGCACGGAGCACCACAACTCTTGACCAGTATTAGTCAGTGTCAGCGCACGTGTGGCAGCCTGCAACCAGTGCGACACATGCATAGTACCATCGTAGTTGGGTATGTCTGAGAGACGCACAAGGGTGGGACCGTTGTGCTGACGGCGAGAAGAGAGAGGGTGATGGGTCTGCAATGGGGCGGCAAATATCGAGGCCGGTGCAAAGGTAGAAGTGGTGGCAGGCTAAGAGTCGGGGCTGCTGGTGGAAGGTCTGGCAGACGTGGAGGCAACGACCAACCAACTATGACGGAGTAGCGAGGTAGGAGGGTAAAGGGGGGGGAGTCTGAGAGCGGTGGGGAGAGCGATGAGGAGAACCCTTGAGTCGGTGAACTTTAAGGACGAGCGCATTGATTTGCCTCTCCAGGGGTGCAAGCGCATCGAGTCGCGCTTGCAGAGGTGCAAGGAGAGACGCAAGAATAGCGCGAAGGTCTGTGGGGTCCACAATGTGCTGACCCTGGACCGTCGGGTGGGTGGGTGCTTGAGAGACGGAGGGCGCCGCGATGATCTCCACATCTATAGACTCGTCCGTGGGTAGTCGACGCATGGGGGTAGACATGGCGGGAGGTGGAGAAAAAAATGGGGAAGGAGATGGGCTATGGCGTGAGGAGACCACCAATGAGAGGAAGGGGACCGCGGGAGCTGAGTGGGTAATCGTGAGTCGGTTCACTCCATGACCTGTGGGTCGCGCGTGAGATGGTGGCGCGAATCCGCTCGAAGGGAGAGGAGCCGTTCGGGTCTTGGGTGCCCAACGAGAGGAAGCGGGAGAGGAGGGGGTTTAGGAGAACCCTAAACCTTAGAAAAACCCTAAGAAAACCCTAACCGCGGTTTAGGTGGTTAGGGTAAGGTAGCGGCGATCTAATCAAGAAAAAAAGATAGTAACCATGGAGGGGAGAGGGGAAAAAAATAAAATAAACAATAAAATTTCAAGATAAAAATAAAAAAAATATAATAATAAAAATAAAGAAAGAAAGAAAGAAGTAAAATGGGAGAAGAGAAAAAATATTTATTTTTCTGAAATTTTTGGTGACATTTTCCTACCCCAATAGGGTAACAAAGGTGCAAAGAGCAAGGAGAGACTAAGAGAAGCACTTTAGGTTTTACGATGCCGCAAATTATAATTTTAAAATAAATAAATAAATGAGGAGGTGAAGAGAAACTAAGTGTTGAATTTTTCAAAAATTTCGGCAACATTTCGTTACACCCACGGGGTCAAAGTGTGTCATCAAGAAGAAAGGCTAAGTAAAATGAGAAGATTTTGCCAGCACTTCGCTACCCCCAAAAGGTCAAAATGTGCTGAAAAAGACTAAGTATGAAAAAAAATAGAAAATTTCGGCAACACTTCGTTACCCCCACGAGGTCAAAATGTGTTCTGAAAGCAAGAATGACTAAGTCATAATCAAATTTGAGGGTGCCGTAAAGAAATTCGAATTTTCAAAAGAAAAAAAAAAAAATAATAATTATAAAATCAGAAAAGAAGGTAGGGAATAAGATAATTCGAATTTTTGGAAAAAAAAAACAAAAAAAGAGGATATTTAAATCAAAGACAAAGACAAAAGAAGAAAAACATAAAAAAATGAAGTTGGGGGGGGAGGGGGGATGAAAGAGTGATGAAGAAAGAGAGAAATAGGTGAGAGAGAGAGAAAGAGTGAAGTGGGAGATGAGGGAGATGATGGGGTTGTAGTTGGGGGGGGAAAGAGGGAGAGGAGGGTGGTAGAATGAGAGAGAAGGATATGGAAAAGGTGGAGAGGAGTAGATGAGATTAATGGAAGATGGTGAGTAGGGAGGAGAGGAGAGAAAAAAAGTTGTGGAAAATGAGTAAAGAGAGAGGTAGGAGGAGGGAGTAGTGGTAGGGTTAGAAAGGATGATTAGATGATGGGGTGGGGGAGAAAAGGGGTTGGGGGAGAGTAGGTTAGTGGGTTGGATGGTCATACCAAGCTCTTGGGTGGCCAAGAGAAGAGCACTACCAAGATCCACATGATCTTGATCTTCAAAATGTTGCTGGTATGATGTCACTTCAATTAAAAAAACATGGGGTGGGCTGAGATCTTGATCAACCACCCAGACGTCACTGTAGTGCAGCCCCCTAGCCAGGGGGGGTCTTCAGCATCCATAGCAAGCTGCCACGTGGCACTGCAGATAGGCACCAGATACCAGCCACATGCGCAGACGGCAGCACCCACGACCACATGGGGGGGGGGGCGCAAATAATTGTTTGTCGCACGCTGCTCACCGCTCGCCGACGAGGGGGAAGGAGGGGGGTAAATAGCTGCCGTGGCACTTCTTCAACACCAGCGAGTCACAATATCAACTCAGATTGTGGCTTTGGCCAGTGTGTTGAGGCATTGGTCACGCACACGCATGAGTGGCAGCTTCCCAGGCTCAAACCTTGGCAGCAGCAGTATCCCGGATCTTGATGATATATAATCCGAGAGCGGGGTGGGGTGAGGTAGCCCGGGCGCATGGAGCGCGCGCGTGTGCGAAGGCCTTGGCCTTGGCGCTTGCGGGCACGCGTCGTGACGACAGTCTCCTTTTTCGCCACGTGTCCGCCTCTCCCCGGTGCTGCTTTTTTTCTTTTTTCGTTGTTTTCGTCGTTTCCACCCTGAAAATCCCGCAAAATCCCAATATCGAGATTATACCATTTTACCTCTGTTACGGGAGGGTGGGTGGGTTGGAGCGGGGACCATTCCGCCTTTGATACCAGTGTGATGGACCCGCCGGGATGAAGGTCCGTTAGGACCAACAAGGAAGGTTGAGGAAGGAGAAGATGGAGATGGAGCTGGAAGGGACAGCGCAACTCCAACGCATACTCGACACGCACGTACTCCAAACTGTGCAAATGCAGAATGAACCAGAATACAGACTGTCGTGGGGTATACCCCAGCGGACTAACTGGACTGGACTGGACTGGCCTGCTACCGACAGTGGTACCGGGCAGGACTAGACTGGACTGAAATAGCACACGGCCTATGGGGTTAGGCCACGGCCTGGTCCAACAGGCCAAAGTGGCAAATAGCCGAATAGGCCCCAGTTGTAGGCTAGGGCAGATAGAGGCCCGCTGCAACCGACCCTAAAAGACTGGCGCCGCTAGCCAAAAAAAGTTTTTTTTGTTGCACTGGTGGGTTCAAGTTGGCGTGAAACGGTATGCAGCTCATTTTCAGGCTCGACATCGATAGCTGGGACTAGTACTGGTGGTTCTAAAAGTTAGTCCACATTAAATTTTCTCGAATGGAATGACGCTTCGAATAGAGTGCACATGCGTTTTGTATTCAAATACAAACTAGATGTTTCTATTCGAATTTCAAAAAGGAAAAACTTTTGTATTTGAATAGACCATTCCCCTTTTTCTTTCGAGCTTAGCGCCTACCCTTGTGCTCCCAGTCACTAACACAGTGCATGCTGCAGGTCTCTCTCTCTCTCTCTCTCTCTCTCTCTCTCTCTCTCTCTCTCTCTCT